CTCATAGTTATAATTTAGGTCCCTGGCCTTCGTGATGACATTTATCAAATTCATAACTTGGTAACTTGAGTCCCCACCTCTTGAAAGATCAGTTATAAATTGCATCTCAAAGTTTTTTGGTTTCATTTTAGTATCGATGATCTGTGTGTGTATCCTGAGAAGAGTGAGCCAGATGGTAAGGGTCTGTGGTTTGCACCTCTTCTGGGGGACCAGGTTACCCCTTGGCCCAGTAAAGGTAGAATCCGTAGTTGCAGGTAATATACAAAGTGGGTACTGTTCACAGGTGATCATTGCTTGTTCATGGGTTTCATAATTCTTACCTTCTTACTCCATCCAAGAACAACAACAGTGACAACATCAGTGAACACCAGCTCCGAGAAACAGAACAAGCACCAGACTTGGTATCTGAGGACATAGGTTCTATATCTAATTCTAACACAAGTTATGGGATTTAGGGATAGCCAACATACCATTCTGGGCTTGTGTTCCTTACCCATCAGAAGGAGGAAGATTAGACTCTAGGTTCATTGCTGGCCCTTCCAATTCTGAGAGCCTATAATTCTTTAAGCCAGAAACACATCTCAGCATCACAGTGACAGCTTTCCAAGATAGTACACCAACAATCTAAGACCAGACATCTATATCACAATGAACACTGATTTATAGGGTACCCGACAGACTTTCTACTAAGAAAATTTTATCCAGGGCCTCTTTTTCTGTACTTTCCCTAAATCAACAGAAAAATACCTCTCACGTTTCTCAGGTATACATCCCCTCAAATAGAAAGAGTTCAAAAAAATTCCAACTAAGTTAGTGTAGCATTTTTCTAATCAAAATTCCTTTAAAAAGTTCTTAATTTTTCTTACTTTACTTACTTACTTACTTACTTTCTTACTTACTTTTTCTTACTCCCCACAAAAAGTGAATATGCTTTAGGAAAAGAGAATATTTCTCACAATAGACTAAGAGATCATGAACATCTGGAATAAAAAGTTCCCAATCTGAGGAATTTTATGTTGTTGAAAGGTTCTTATTTCACAGAAATGTTTCGCCATTAGCCTACGTCCCATCATTAGAGATCAATTACCTTGATTTATTGTTTAAGGAAAATTCAAAGTAGGCCTCACATATAAGCTACTGTAATACCTTAGGATAATAATAATTTTATCTAGCCCTTTAAAAATGACAACTTTAACACATATTATCACACTGAAATTTCACAATTCCATGAGGAAATTAGAAGACCCTTTATCTCAAATTTATAGATAAAAAAATCAAGACACAGAGATTAAATGGCCTGTTCAGGATCATCTAGGTGTTACGTTGGTAGAAGCAGAACTAGAACCAATCCCTGACATAAACCCAGTCCTGTTTATCCAATATTTTTCTGTGGAACTGAATGCATAAATGGGGCACAGGGAGTAATATGAAGATAAGCCATGGGAACACAGACCTGAATTTGAATTCTGATTCAGCTATCTGCTTGCAGTATGATGTGAGGTAATTACTTAAATGCTTTGAGCACTCTTGTTATTTATAAAAATCAAGAATAATAATATAAGCAAGGGCAATAATATATATTAAAGGACTTTGTGTTAAAGAGTGCACAGTAGTGATCTTTTTGTTTTTACTACTCTATGTATTTTAAATTTTAAATTTTACAAGTAGGTTGCATATGACAGAACAGATAGGAATATAAAGACAACTTAACTGTAGAAACCACTCTCTTTTAGAATTCTTATTTTTCAAGCTGTGATGGTTGCTTCATTTTTTCCTATGTCACATTCTTCTGCAAATCTGCATGTGCTGTCCTCTACCATGAAACCCTGATCCCTTGACCTTGATCGACACCTACACATTTTTTTCAAACTCCAACTGAAGAGTTATTTCCTCTTTAAAACTTTGATCCCACAGGCTTTTCCTTGGGCATTCATTTAAAACACAAGTTTATTTACCAGCATTTACTAAGAAACTCCCATAGTGCTAGGGAATTCTAGGGGTGCACCAGAGCACTCCCTAGAACTGATCAAATTTTGTTTGTTGCTGTTACTAGTTGCCACCCTTTGACATTTTACAGACCTTTTACTTTTAAGGGATGAGAACGGATATAAAGTTGCCCACGTTTCACTTTCTAAGTAAGCTTATGGTAAAGTTAAAAAAAAAATTAAAAAAGGACATGGTAAAGTAAATATCTGCCATTTCCTGCCACACACACAAAAATGACATTTTGATATGAAGATATATAATCTCAGAATTTAAAAATTAATGTTAGGCTTTATAGAAAACTTCACAAAGGCAGTCTGTGTAATCAGGGAATAGGCATTGAGGTATCCACTGGTTTACCTATATTTTTGTCCCAATCTGGTATTCTTAGATTTGTTGTTTCTTACTCAATTTTGCATTCCTGGTGCAGTGCCTGCTATCTAGTAGGAAATAGCCAATAAATATTGAGGAACAAGGCAATGAATTTTCCTTTGAGCAAATACCTCTGAGATCCATGGCAGGGGTCTACAGCACAGACCCCTGTGGGAGGACAAAGCAAAGGTGTGAGTGTGTGTGTGTGTGTGTGTGTGCGTGCACGCACGCACGTGCGTGTGTGTGTGCTTAAAGTGATATAGTTTATTTCATGAGGTTGCCAGGCACTAGCCATTCAGGAGACTATATGAAGCTTTTAGTGAAACTGCCCTGCCAAGGAACAAGAGAGGAGGGGGGACAATAACTATATTACCGAGGCATAACCCTATAGGAACAGGCAGACTCTATTCCTAGGACACTGTTAAAACAATTCATGTGACATCTTAGGTAGAGTAAGAATTATAACAAATATAGTTACTGTAAATAAGTAACACTCATCTAAGATTCATGATATGCCAGGCTTCTGTCTTAAGTTCTTTGCACGTATTATGTCATTCAATCATTACAACAACCTGTTAAAAATGTGATTACTATTTCCGTTGTATAGATGAAGAATCAGGTTTGCGGTGGTTGAACAATTTTCTGGCAGTCATATAGTTAACCAATGGTAGAAATAGGTCTCAACTCTCATCTAAATGCCTTTAGAGCTTTACTGAAATGCTTGGGTCCCTTTAGAGCTATATATTTCTCTGATGAAGTTTTATAGGACTTGGTTTTCATTTTAAAAATAAGAAGAAAATTACAATGTTTCCTCTTAGCCAGGATTTTGTAGCTGGCAGGGCACACACAGTTTTTCTGCCTAAAAGCTGCATGACTATAAGCAACTTATTTAACATCTTTGAACTTCAACTTCTCCACCTATAAAATAGGGATGACAGCCATTCTATCTGTGTTTGGGGAGAGTTAAATGAATAGTGTATGGAAAACAGCTAGCAAAGGGCCTGGATTATGAAGGGGATTTAATCAATTTTAATTCCATATGGGATCTAGTAAGATAAAATGACATTTTCAAATTAAAATCATATCAAATATTACTGATAGAATGAAAGCAAATAGATCATTGCTCTGGTGAATAAAGGTGCCTATATTTATACAATTCTTTAGAGAGCCATGAGGATTATCTTTGCTGCAGCCCTCATTTTAATTAAGAGCATAGAGATTAGATGTTTCAGCATAGGAAGAAGTTTATATTTGATTTATACCCCAGATGCACATTTGCAGCATCTAAACATTCCATTCCTTGGCTAAAGATGTAACAAGCTACTTCAGCAAACCTGAAATTGCAAAATAAATGGAAAATGCTTAATCATTTAAAAAGAAATAGCAAAGGAATGAAAAGACCAAAGCAGGCCTGGGTACCGGTGAGGGAAGTTAAGCGGCAGGAAGCCTCCTCTATTTTTTTAAAGGCTGACAAATGGCTTCATTAGACAGGCAGGATATTAAACCAAAAGGGTTCATCTCTATCATTTTTACACACAGACACTTCCAGAAAAAGTGTGTATGTATTTATATGTTATCTCATTTCAGGTAAAAGTATTGTTCATTGAGAAAAGCAAGTTGCAGAACAATTTCTAAAATATGAACTTACTTTGTAAAAACAGTATCAAGCCCCATCTATAACTGATTGTGAGTTTGTTTGGGTTTGTATGAACATGCAGAAGGTATGAAAGGTTCAGGCCAGGACGTTACACTGGGAACCTCAAGATGGTTGCCCTCGCAGGATCTGGGGAGAGGGTTTTGTTTCTTGAACATTATCTCATTACTTCACCAAATGCAAAGAGCATACATTACCTTGGAACAAAAACATTGAAAGATTAAAAAAAAAGTACATTTATTCTTATTTATTCCCATATTCATTTGTGGATTTATTCATTATCCAACATTTACGGAATTCTTAACGGTGACAATTAAGTCAAGGAAGCTGGTCTGTTTTGTGGACTGTCACACATGACTTTTTCATAGGTGTGCTGACTAAACTTGGCTTTACTTCATGGCATTAGCAATATGGTTCCAGGCTCTATCCTCAAATCCTGTCCTGTTCCCTTTGGAATTAACAGTGTGTATTAAAATCAAACCATCTGTAGTTAATGTCACCCCTTTTCTTTCTATCTGTAGCTACTGTGCTGAAGGAAGGGTTGACTCACTTGCCAACTCCACTGAACTGCGAGTAGCCACTGGAGACAAAAACATGGTATTCGGAGCCAAAAGGCAAAGGTTTCAGTCCTGACTCCCCAGGAAACAGAAATGTGGTACTGGTATGTTACTTCCTTACTTGAACCTCAGTACCACCTCCTCTCAAGTCAGCTATCTGACAAAATGGCCGTCGAGCTCTAACGGCATCACGTGTGAAAGTCTTAATAAACTGCAAAGTGTGAAGTACATGTATAGTACCACTCCTTACGTAGAATTAGTGATTTTGATTCCTAATGATACATGTTTACAAGAATTCGCAGATTTCCACAGGAGACAAGATAATAATAAGTTTCAGTGGTGCTCAGAAACTTGAGTTAGCCCCCAAAGCAATGGCTGACATGTTAGGCAAAGGCTGTGATCACAAGTCCAATTAACCAATAAGCATATCTGACCTGGTGTAATCATCTTCAACAAGCATGTGCTTTGGAATCGGTGAGTACCTTCCTGGAGAGATGGGCGGCAGGGAAGTTTTATATTCTAAAGTTCCATTGTTGCCGGAGAGTAGATGGTTTTCCATCGGTGGAGAATAAGCTAAGGGGTGAAAAAAGGAAAAGAGAAGAAACCTGTTAGGTGGGTGATTCAATGCGTCATGCTACAGTTCTGTTAAAAATAGGAAGACTTTGCTACATGCTGAGGATTTTCTTGTCTCCCAAGAGGGTGGAGTTACTGTTTGTTTGCATTTAGTATGTACAAGCACATGGTGCTTGACCTTTAGGATTGGAAAGATGTAATAACATTTATATCTATAAACCCATTTTGTATAATTAGGTGAAGAGAAGAATTGGGGGAGAGAGCCAGAACATGCATTTTCAGAAGGATGATTAATTTTCTATTGAAATAAAAATGCTAGCTTTCTAATTGCAGAGCTCACATTCTTTTCACATAATTAATATTCAATCATCAAATCTAGAAGGCTCTTGGAGCAAGTTCTTGTGTAAGACTTGAATCCTAAAATATGCTGTACTACCACCCCAGAAAGGCCCAGGACACTGGCCTTTCTTAGTTCTCTACAGTAATTCATTATCCTTTTGAATGTATGAAAGCCCCTCCTGCTTGCTCCACCCCTCTCTAGAAATCCATTTCATACACTGAGAAATCCAACTCTGATAGTGCTATTCTCCTGCTTAAGTGTTCTCCATTGCTGCTAATGTACTGAATATAAACTTTTCCTTTTGTCATTCTTACAAGATTGATCCATTTTAATACCCTATACTCTAGAGTCCTCTAAGACAGCTCTTCCCAATGTTTGTGCTTTCATCAGTTACCTACAATTTCTGTCTCTCTCTCTTTTTATTTTTAGAGAGAGAGAGAGAGAGAGAGAGAGTAGAGAGAGAGAGAGAGAGAGAGGAGGAAACAGGGTCCCTGCCAAGCAGAGAGCCCGATGTGGGACTCGATCCCAGGATGCTGAGATCATGACCTGAGCTGAAGGCAGAGGCTTAACCCACTGAGCCACCCAGGCGCCCATACAATTTCTGTCTCTTAACACATCTCTGATACTGAAATTTCATCGATTCTTTAAGATACAATTCAAACGGGGTGCCTGGGTGGCTCAGTGCTTAAAGCCTCTGCCTTCAGCTCAGGTCATGATCCCGGGGTCCTGGGATTGAGCCCCACATCGGGCTCTCTGCTCTGCGGGGAGCCTGCTTCCTCCTCTCTCTCTCTGCCTGCCTCTCTGCCTACTTGTGATCTCTGTCTGTCAAATAAATAAACAAAATCTTAAAAAAAAAATACAATTCAAACGCCACCCCTTCCATAAAGAGTTTTATGATCATCCGAAGACAGAAGACAGGTAGTATCCCTTTCCTTTGAATACCCAAAAGCATGTATTTTTTATCTCCCATGGTATCCTTCTTACGTTGCCAAATATTGCTGCTATTCCTATATCTGAATTAGCCTTTCTTCCAGTAAAGGCCATGATTGCATTTCCTTTCTATCCCACCTATTACCTTATAAGGTATCTTACACATATTAAGATTACTCAATATATATGTTTTAAATTGAATAGCAAGCTTTGTTTTCTTGTTTTTATCTCTTTAACGTTGACCTTATACACCCTTCAGGAAGTAGCTCAGAGTCTCAAGACTGATTTTTCTAATTCATTCAGTTTGAAAAACTTTTGAAAGTTAAAATTCTTCATATCCTAAGGTGAGGCTAATCTCAGCTTCCTGCATGCTTGAGAAAAAGACATACTTTGGGGGCAAGTCATTTCCCAATCATCATTAAGAAAAGCAATAGCTAACATAATGAGTAGGTAACAAAATTATTCAACCTTTAAATTTCCCTCAACAGAAACAGCTAAGTCTGAGAGAGGCTAAATGCCTTGCTTAAGACCATAGTCCTAATTAGTGGCAGGTCCTGAAGCTATTCCGAGATCCCAGTCTCACAACTGGTTTCTCAAAATTTCAGAATGAGCAAGCTTAGTGATGTTAACTATCCCTTAATCTCAGGTAGAAAAAAAAAAAAAATTCTTCTGAATCTAGTCCCCAAAGACAGAACCTTAGATCAAGTTCTTGCTGACCTACTAAGAAGAGAAGGAAATATGGGGCTTCTGTAGGAGTGGATTTTGCAGGACTCAACAAAGCAGCATCTCAGAGTTAGTTTTTGTCCTAGAAACCCCCACCTACAACTCATTTCTACTGCCATAGTGATTGAGAGCTCCCCCTGCCGCTGCACCCCGCTGCTTTCTTGCCAATATAATATTCAGGTAAAGGGAAGAGCTATGGAGATGGTGATTGAGGATCATAATGTTTCCATCCAAGTGCAATATCCTCTCCCCCAGGAGGGAGCACAGTGCTGTCTCTGGTCTTTTTGCTAGTCTTTCTCTTTCTTCATTGGCTACTCTGTAGGTTTGAACTAGGAAAGGGGGATACTATGGCATGAGAGCTATCATACTTTAGGGCCTTGAGAAATAGACTTTAAAAAGGTGTTGCTCTTACGTTACTGTAATGACACTGTCCACGACATACCTCATTAAGCCTTTCTTAAATGGTGGACTTTCTAACCCATCAAGGTGTCCCACCAACAAAACACTAGTTAAGGCCTTGTAAGGCAATCAGGGAGTAAAGTACAGCGTTCCTTGCAACTATTTCCACAAGCTAAACAAGAGCAAAGATGCAGAGTACTTTGCCAAGTTTTGCAGAATTCCAATTCTGTACCCCTGGTGCAGGGACACTGAGAGTGGCACTTACAGTGAGTAATATCAGGTGGCCCATAAGGATCAGTCATGTAAATGGTGGTGGGTTTGCCGACTTTTAGATAAACGACATCAGATGTGTTCTTCAGTATAGCTACTGCCTCTTCATGTGTCACTTCTTCTAAACTGTAGTTGTTTACCTAAAAGGAAAATAATACTCAATATTAGAGTCAAATGTAGGCAGGTGAAAAGAAACAGGCAAAAGCATATACAGGATTATTTAAACATTAAATAGCAATGATTACAATTCAGGATCTACATCATACTTGGACAGAAAGATGGATTTATGGCATTAGCCAAAGCAGATAAGGTACCATTGTTGATGCTACAAAAATTAAAAAAAAAAAAAACCAAAAAACCAATAACAACAAAAAAAAAAAACAAGAAATAAAACAAAACAAAAAAGCCAAAGTTGCTTCTGTTTTTTTTCTATGAGAAAGCAATGTATCATAATGCAAATCAGGATACTATTTGTGGATAAAAGAAAGGAGGGGTCAAATGTCTCTTTTCCTATGCTGTGGTTTTTCCAATTACAAAGGTAATACATACTCATGGAACTAAAAAAAAAAAAAGGAGAAGAAGAAGAAGAAGAAAAACTAACCAGTCTCTATATTTGGGATATATTTTTAAAATATCAGTGACCATATTATACATATTGTTTTGGAAACTGCTTTTTAAATCTAGAGTGACTATTGGTCCATATCATAGCATATGGCAACAACGTGACTTTGTTTCCTAGAGAGCATTGTGTTGCACGGTTGTAACCTAATGCTTTAACCAATCTGTAACTAAAGCATGTTTAGTTTGCGTCTCATTTTTTTCTACTATGAATAATGTTGCAGTAAACTTTTTTTTTTCTATATTTGCACACAACTTTGGTGATTTATTTGGGATAAATCATACAAGTGGAATTGTTGTACTGAACTATATGAATATTACAAGCCTTCTGATACCTATTCCTAAATTGTCCTGTGGAAAGAGTTTACTTTTATACCACCACTATACAAGAGCCCCAATTTTCCTACAGTTACACCAAATTTGTTTGTTTGTTTTTTTCCACTTTAAAAATTGTTCCCATCTGTGGGGCTGGGTGGCTCAGTTGGTTAACACTTGACTCTTCGTTTTGGCTTAGGTCATGATCTCAGGGTCATGATTGAGCCCCATGTTGGGCTCCATGCTGGGTGTGGAACCCATTTAAGAGCCTCTCTGTCACTATTGGATGCTCTCTTTTTCCTCTGCAGCCCCCACCAAAATAAATAAATAAATAAATAAATAAATAAATAAATAAATAAATAAATAACTATCCCAGCAAAATGTTATTTAACAAGTCGATTTTCTAAGGCTAATATTAGTAAACGGGGCTTGGCAGGTGAACAAGTTCAAGGGTACTCTATTCCCATCCACTTCAATAGCAACTCCTCCTTTTTACTGGACAGAAGAGCCTGATGAAAGTGCAATTTTACTTCATGGCAGTGACATTATAGTGGAATCTCTCCAGCACTTCTCTTAGATGGTTTTAAAACACTTATGATGTGTTTTAAATACCTACATTATTCTTATTTGGCTACTATTATTTTAATGGAGTTATTCTTTAATTAATTTCTGCTGAAATGATGCATAATTAAAGTAAACATGCCAAAGAGCACTAGATTGGATCCTGTACATATTCTTTGTACTATTTAATTAGCACTTTAGTCATAGAAGACCTTGTAACATTGCTTCCCCCCCCTTTTGCCTATGTTCTATAAATTCTATGTGCCAATTAATCCTTGATGGTGTAGCTGAAGTTAGGGACCCTGGAACTGGAGGGGTATGTATATATATGAATGCTGACCATGAACTCCCCATTAAGATATCAACTTTTCCACTGGTTCCTATAGTTCTCTTCTGAACAAGTGACATTCTCTTATATCCTTTTGTATTTCCAGCACCTAGCACTTATTCATCCATTGGTCAATGCATTGCTACCATGTGTCAGTCATGGTTTTACATATTAGAGAAATGTAATAAATAGGACGAAAATCATAATCATAGCCAAAACTTACAGAGCCTATATTACACTCTGGGAACTATTCTAAGTCATTTACATACATAAACACAATTGAACCTCACAACAACTTGTATGGTAACTATTACAGTTACTTTCATTTTACAGATTAGAAGAGCATGTCTCCAAGAGGTTAAGAAACCTGCTCAAAGTCATTGATAGAAGCCGATTAAAAGCAAGCGGTTTGGATCCAGACACCAGGCTTGTAACCACTCATCTATATTCCTTTTTCAGATAGACAGAAAAGGTCCCCAGCTCCCTTGAATCTCATATTCTAGTAAGATACACTTCAAGTTTCAAGCACTGAAACTGAAACCTACTGAGAAGGACTTTACATACAGATTCTCAAGTACCACCAGAGAACTCCTCAGACTGGAAAGAAGTTGAGCAAAGGGTAGAGGTGAGAAGTGGGGATAATGGTGGTTTATAATAGTAGTACTTCAGTTGGTTTTTATTTGGTGACTACAAAGTGTTGGAATACTAACACGGATTTTAGTTATAGAACAGGTGGCATGATATTGGCAACAGAACATAGTGATTAAGAGCACATGCTTCTGAGTCACACAGACCAGGATCTGAGTCCTGGTCCTGGCTCTTTCTAGCTGTGTAACTTTGGACCAACTTACTTAATCTTTTTAGCCTCAGTTTTGACATCTGTAAAATAGGTATGATGATAATTGCTACCTCAAAGGGTTATTGATGTAAATGTATTAGTCTATGTAAAGTGGCAGGAATATTAAAATTCTTATTAATGTTATCTTTTATTACTATTACTATTGTCATCATACATCTCTCTTCTCAGGAAACAGGAATGCTTGGTAAAAATTTTTGCTGAGCATTTTCCTGTAAACATCTGTGAACTGATGAGTTTAATTAGGGTACTGTTGATGAGGCTTCTGTGTGGTCTTTTTAAAAATTCAGAATAGTACAGGATCTGGACCAAAAAGTGCTCTTTTGTGCTGAAGTCTTCAAAATGTTTTTCACGAAAGTGGGTTTATTTGGGTTAATTATGTGTGTGCATTATCCTATGAACTCTCAAGATAAAGGGCCTACAGCTGGAGCTGATTGTACACAGAGAGAAGGGACATTACACTGATTGGCTAGTTGCTCTTGTCATTGTTTTTTATTGTCTTTTTTCTTTTGCATCAAGTATCTGCCTATAATGGTGAACACTGAACAACTGGCCTGATTTCAGAAAAAAAAATTATGTGCATCTGAATGCAGTGTTTCTGTGGGCACACTACACAGAGCGGGGCATGTGTGCAGCCTGGCCATATGTTTGCAATAGGATGAAGGACTGAGGCCAAGCAGAGAGGTTAGAGATGAGAGGATGCATTTTCTCCAACAGAAAAGGGAGCACTGAAATTGAGCACGATGCAGAGACAAAGGAGGGCAAACTAGCTGAAGAAAGAGGTGCCAAAAAACCTGCAAGAAGAGCAGGGTCAGTGTTGTGGGAATCAAATTGAGTGCAAGCAAACAGGTATGTGATGGGACAAAGGTGGGAGGTGTGGCAGCAGGAGAATGATAATAAAGAGGAATGGGTGGTGTACAGATGGTGAGATGCTGACCTTTCCGTATTTATTCAGGAATACCAACACGGTGGCACAAACTAGGAGGTGGACATAAATATTACCTGAGACATAGTACAAGGAAATGGGGGAACTCTAGAAACACTAAAAAAAAATCATGAACTCCAAAGTCAACTTCTAAGGAGACAAAGTTGTTGATCACTAGATGAGATGAATTAAAAAGGAGAACTAAGTAATGCATAGAATTGTTGAATCACTGTATTGTACCTCTAAAACTAATATAACATTGTATGTTAACTACAATGGAAATACAATTTTAAAAACCTAATAAAATTTTAAAAAATTAATAAATACAAATAAAAAAGTTGACAAATCTAATGTGCTAATGTCAATGATATGAAAATGAATATGCATAAGCCAAAGACTAAAATCTCTGCAGTACACTGTAATTTGTGGATATAAAAAATTTTATTTTAAAAACAGTAACCACAAATAAATAGGGAACAATAATAGTTATCTCTGGATAATAAATATCTTATTTTTCACCTTTTCAGCAATGATCATGCACTATAGTTAGAATGAAATTAATTCTATATTTTAAATGAAAAAGAAAAAAAAAACTTCAAATAAGAACAGAAACAAAGTGGGGAGCCTGGGCACAGTCAGTTAAGTGCCTGACTCTTGGTTTCAGTTCAGGTTGTCATCTCCGTCATGAGCTAAGGGCTGTGAGATCAAGCCCCACGTCAGGCTCCATGTTCAGCATGGAGTTTGCTTAAGACACTCTCCTTCTGCCTTTCCCCTCTCTCAAATAAACAGCTAAATCATTAAAAAAAAAAAAAAAAGAAATAAAGAAAGAAACAAGATAACCCTAGAACCAAAGTGCAGTGCCTTCATTATGAAACACACATAGCAAGATCTCAGGAGTGATGGAAAATTGGAATGGAGAAGAAGGAACTTGGTTTCTAATGGCCAGTAAACTGATTTAATTTTTTAGAAAAAACTGCCATTATTTTAAGCCTAGATGTTTCTAGAAATGAAGGTAACTTGGCATAATGAGAGTAAATTTTAAATGTAGCACCACATCTGTTTTCAATTCCTATATTCATGAATTTTGTTCAGTTAACATATTTACTGAGCATTAAAAATTCCTTATATGCAAAATAGGGATGATACTAATTTATTTGTTGATTTATTTGTGTTTAGGAGAAAGGAGGGATACCATGAACATGAAAAGACATTGTATAAGATAGAACAGTATACAAAGAGTCATCAAACTTCACAATCATACACAATGTTTCTGCTGATTCTGTTGCTGAAACTAGATCCTTGTGTGAAAATGATCACCCCCTACCTTCTACAACAGTTAATCTTGCAATGTCTCTTTCCTGTTCAAGGACTGATTTTCTAAAGGGCAATGATTAGATTGTGTCCCCGCCCCCCCCCTTCTTTTGGACATTGGAGTATAGCTGACACACAATGTTACATTATTTTCAGGTGTATAACACAGTGATTCAACAAGTTTGTGCATGATGTTTTGCTCACCAGAAGTGTAGCTACCATCTGT